AGTCCAGCGACATTTTAGGCTTAGAAACACCTTTTGTGGAATTTTTTTTATAATAAAACTGTTTATAATAATTTTATATTTAATTATGTTTTAAGATGCAAAATGTGATACATCCCCATGTTATTTTTGCTGCTTTTTGAAGATACATTTTTCATTTTAATATTTTTAGTTTGACTACATCAAATTTAAGAAAATGTTTACACGTGATCTCTCTAAGCTTCGAAGATAAACCAAAGCTTATTGAACACTTAAGTAAGGTGTTAAAAAAAAAAAAAGGATACCTAATCTACCCATTTTTAATTTTAATAGACTAAGTCAACGAGCAACATATGTACATATTAATTAACCAATGATACTCCCTCTAATTAAGGAGAGTAGGACTTTTTTTTCCTAGAGAAAAAACATGCAAATTAAAAATAATATTGTTATAACAAAATATATAAATGTGTGGTCCCATAAATATAAATATATGGGATTTAAAATTTGAATGCAAAAAATATTTAAAAGAGAAAAGACAGCCTAAGAGGACAAGCCATTATAAGTGGGATTAAATTTAGGGAAAATGGTAAAAAAGACTGCCAAAATAGAAAAAATTGTAAATAAAGACATGACAATATTAGTATGTGTTTTGATAATAATTTTTACAAACCAGTTCCTTTATGTGATTTTTCTATTTCAGCGGTCTTTTTTACCATTTTCCCTTAAATTTACGACCTTCTACTTTTAAAGGAAGTATTTCATGTCAATAAGCCACAACAAATAGGCAATATATAAATGTAATTATTGTTTTGCATTTACATGTGTGATTTAATATAAATGTATTTATTGCTTTGCATTTACATGTGTAATTTAATATAAATAATATGACAAGAGATTAAACTTGAAAGTGCCTTGGTCCTTGGATAAGATAGTGGGTCATTATATCCTAATTAATAAGAACACCCCAATTAATTTTATTTAATTCTTTTGGCCTGATTTTTGTAAGTTGCTTCCGCCCTTAGTATAGGGGTGTTCATCAAGCCGCTAGCTCAGTATGCCCGTCTGAGCCCGTGAAAAAATGACCCTGCCTGGCCCAAAAAAACAGCCCAAAGAAAAATGGACATTTTTGGGTTGGGCATATTATGGGCTGGGCTGGGCTGCGGGCAAGTATGCTGCCCTGCCCGTGATATATATATTTATAATTCTTTTTTCTTGCCAAAAATACTTCTAATGATATATATATATAATATATATTATTTCCTCTCCCATTTGCCCTAGATACATTTAGTGATATACGTAATTCTTCCTTCTTAGTATCTATTTAATGTTTTTCTAATCTGGTTTAGTATCTTTTAGATTGTTTTCATTGTTGGTTGTCTTGCAAAGATGCAAAAGCAAGCTCACTTTAGTGTTGTATTAAAAGATATATCAATTTAAGACAAATCAAAGTTATTGATTTGTTGAATTTATTATTTATTCAAGTATTTATTTCTTTATAATTGTTATAAGATACCCTTACTTTAACTAAAAAAATTTTCACCAAGATATTACTATTTGGGCTTGGAAGCCCGCCTTACTTAGCCCGTTATTGCCCAGCTCGAAAATGGTTAGAGCTTCTATGGGTTTCTGCAGCTCGCTCATCTTTCAGGCCGAGCATCAAGCAAGGGGCATGCCCTACCTGCCCATGAATACCCCTATCTTAGTATTTGATGAAGTTTATATGTATTGAGATGAGATATTTTTTAAAAAAAAATCCCAAATAAATAAAGAAAGAAAAGAAATTGTATTAAAATTATGGGGAAAAGTTTTTGAATTGGAAAAGGCCAAATGGGAACATGAAAAACCTATAATTGGTTGTCTTCAGCTGTGAATGAAAATTGCATGTGCATATGGTTGGAGTTAGCTAACACGCATGCCCTATTTAATTAATAGTTTTAATTTATAAGAAATAAAGTATGCAATTATTACAAATATTATAATTCATATTTTAAGCCATACACCATAAAAAAGCAAACAAATATAAAATGATAGAATATTACATAATTTATTTACTTGCTAAAGGTTTTCTTGTTTTATTTTTACATTAAATTTATTGTTATTGGCTAGCATATTTATTATTATTATGTAAATGATATTATCACTATTATTATCTGTATTAAATGAATCATAATGTTTGAAAGAGTTATCAAAATGAGGATTTTATGAATGATATAATTTTTTTAGTGGAATATGAGTGATAAACTATTAAAGTTATTCAGAAGGTCATATTTATTTTTCAATTATAGAATCCTATGAAATGTGTAAAATGTAATTTAAAAAGTTTCATAAAATCTAATAAAACACATGAAGGAAAATTTAAAAAATAAAAAAATTGCTTATTGAAAAAATAGTTATATTATTTATGGAATTATAAATAACATAGCATGTTATGATGATTTTTGAAGTAGTGATTGAGATTTGAGAGAAAACTTGGTGGGTGTACTTTAGAGAAAAGTAAAGAGAGCTTGGCCACAAGCCTCACAATTCATGCATGGTCCCTCCCTTTTTGGTTCCAATTCCAAGTGGTCCTAATCTTTCTTAAACTTTCCATGTTTCTTAGTCCCACACTTACCCAACTACGTTGTACCTTAATGCTCCACTTCCCTATTCATTTAGCTTAAATTTAGATTTATTATTGGAGGAAATTGATGAAAAAAGCCCTCATTATATAATTTATTGTTGAAAGGTGTCTAAAATCTGTTTAAAGATTCAGAATAACTTATTTTTAACTGTGGGCAAAACAAAAGATATTTTCACATAATTAAATATATGTTATACATGGGTAAAGAAGATTTACACACTTTCAATACACCAAAAATGGATTGGTGCAATTTGAAATCTAACTAGTTATTTTTAAATTATAATAATTTATGTATAATCTCTTTACTAGATAGGTACCTCTTCCAACAAAGATTCAGACCTTGATTTATTATGTTGTGAGTGACTAACTGCTTCTACTACATCTAACCCTATATGTATATTCTATTGGAACATAAATTATAATTAGAGTTGCACAAGAATATTGGGTGTGTGAATAATAAATGAAATTTTTGGATTCAATTTTCATTTCACAACCACCAAGTGATAAGAGAATCTATAGCAACTCATTAAAATGTACACATCAATAGACTCTATATCTTGCATCATTAATTTTCACTTTATTATTTATTACTTGTCTCTTTTTATAAAAAAACAATCTCTCTCATAATAGTGTCTCTAAATATAAGAAACAAATCTTCTTTATTTGAAATTTTAAATTAGTCTTTTTACTTTTATCCTTATTAAATACATGCCACTTATTATCTCTATGCAATAAAATTTTACTCATTATTTCTCAAATACTTTCTTTACAAACAAGGTATAGTTAGAAAAATACGTGTATATCTTATATATTTATTACTTTTAATTAAATTTAACTAATATTTTGCACAATGTGATTTTGTTAGTTGTTTGTTATAATAATGAAGGGAGGGAATACTTCAATCTAATTTTATTTTATGTGAGACTTTCGGGTCGACTCAAATCCACTCATACCTACGTGAATAAAATCCAACTCGTATTTCTTATTGAATAAGAATTAAATAATTAATTTATAAAAAGTAAAGAAAATGTGTGTTAATTTTTCTAAAATAACTCTGTAACCACGTGAATGAAGCCAGGCCAAAGTAAGCTATCAAGTCACCATTATTTGCAGAAATGAACCAAACGTTTAAAAAGCTGGTTTGTCCATTATAACAAGAATGGAGAAACAGCCAACGCTATAATGTTACCATCAAACTTCATCTTTTTGCCTCCCTCTCTCCTTATCTTTCATTGATTCCCAGAAGCGTTTAAATCATATATGATTAAAACCTAATTAACTAATTTGAAAAGATTAAAAAAAGTTAGTTATTTGTAGTAAATATTCCTCCGGTCCTAAATATAGGACCCTTTTGCAGTGTAATTTACACTGGAAAAGGGTCTTATATTTAGAATTAGAAGAGTAGATGTTATCTTTTCTAAAATATTTTTATTAATCATATGTGTTTTAATTATAAATTGACAGTAATTCCTTAACAATACAAATACTATAGAAATTACTTCAGGAAAAATAGATAAATATTAGAGACAAAGTAAATTTGAGTATTATATTTAGGATTAAATTGAAAATTAAACTAGCTCTTATATTAGAAACCGGGGTAGTATAATTTAATAATATTTGTATTTTATTTTTCTTCAAAAAAATTTATATCTCAATTCAAATTATTAAAATCTATATATTCATGTAAAATATCAGATGCTACACTATCTGTAAATAAAATACAAAACATGAAAAAGAAATAAAAGAGAGAAGCTCAATTTTCCCCCAAAGTTTGGGATCAAATCAGAAGGTGAATCATACTTCTTTTTAATAAAATTCAATGCAAGAATTATTTTTACATGTATGCTAACAATATTAACGATAATTTGTCAACGTATTCAAATATATGTCACTGTGTATTCATAGGTCAAGATTAAAGCCATCCTTTTTGACTGCCAAATGGTAGAAAACATTACTTTTGGTGCTTAACTAATTTGTCTAACTTATATAAATATTTCAGAAAGATAATACAATATATATTATAATTAAATAATTTTTTAACTTATTTAATCTTATCAAATTAATTAACCAAATCTCATATTAAAAACCGAAGGCGGCATATATAAATGTACGGCCTCAAACATAATACATAAGATTTGCCATAACCTAAAAACTATTGATTTATGGTTTAATAGATTGTTAGATATTCACCAATCTAAAAATAATTGTCATTATAGGGATAAAAGCTTTAACTTATGAATTCTAAACCACAACATTTTAAATGGTTGTGTTCCCAAATTAACTCGTGATTGCTGCCTTTTTTTTTTTTTGGCTTGTTTTCATTAAATAATTTATTTCCTCCTTTTTTCTACTATTAATTATTATTTAGATTAATAAAAACTCACTATAAGTTCTCCATAAATTCTACCCCAAAATATTTTGAGAATTTTTATTACTGTAATCTCATACACTTACAAGCTCCATCAAAGTGTCTAGCAGCCGAAGGCACTGCCATAGCCCATAATCAACTAACATCACAGAATGACATGTTTAAAAGCTGAGTTTCAATACCACCTACCACAACTCCAAGCAAATGATATATATATTACATCATTGTAAACAGAAACCCAAAAAAAAAAAAAGGAGCTGGGGAATGAACTTTTTTTTGTACAAAGGCACACAGGTGAGCATTACAAACATCATAGGATGTCTTGCTTCTCTAATGCTTACCATGTTGTTGGCCAAAAGATATCTGTGTCATTTTAGACTCTGTACATGTTCCTCAAACTTTCCAATACCTATCAACGACCAGCTGCTTAGTCCAGCGAAGAACCGGTTTCAGCGGTTTCATCCTCACTAAAGCTAGAAAGCATCTCTGTTGCAGACCTACATTATCACACATGAAGTAGTTAGAAATGAAAAAGAGCATGCTAGAATTGGATTAAACAGAAAATTACCCACAAATACGGGTTGCTAGAATTAATTGCCCAATCATACTTGATATGTTTTCATACACAGAAAATACTGGTACTCGAATTCAAGTAGCATTGAGCAATCGATTCTTCAAACAGATATTTATGGGCAATTTCTCCTAGATTAAAAGTGTTTCCGGAGAAAAAGTAAATTTTCAAGTTTCACCTATTAAGCTCCTATTACCCCCCAGAAATAACGAAAGAGAGAGAGTACCAGAGAGATTTTGGTACAAAGGAGACTAATAGACCAATATGGATATAACATTATGTTTTCATCATTATGAATGATATAAACTTCCAATGGTTCGTCACCATGAGCCAGCAATACTTCTTAAACTGACTTTATTCTTTACTAATTGCAGCAGATATGCAGCAGAAAAACCCTTCAAATTCTTTTTTCATGAGATAAGCATCATAGTGCACACATCCACACGCACATCAGCATACAGAAATTTGAGAGGATTTGGGCTAGCATGTAATCATGAAAACTACAAAAGCAAACAGAACTGAGTGCCCACCTCCGATTTTTCTGAGGTTGCATCTCAGCTACTAGTGCATGTTTCAGATTGTGTTGTTGAGGAAGATCATCTTTAACTCTTTTTGCAATCTATGGTGTTAATATAAAATAAATAAGATGAGGGCACCTAGAAGAGCAATGATGTTTATAATATACAGTCTAGGAAGGAGGAGAATGAGGTTAACGCAAAGCAATTACAGCATTCTGCATTTACAAGTTTATGCAGCTCAAACTCACCATGGTTTCATTTGAAAGAATCCTTATTCTCTCTGAATCATGATATTGTTTTCTTGCCTTCTTGTCTCCACTAAACTTCTCTTCCTGAAAATATTCAAGCAGAAAACAATCACTTTCAGGCATCTGTTAACAAAATAAATTATAAAAAGCAGATATAAGTCACAGCTATCTAAGTGGACCTTTGCTATCCTTGGAGTTAGTCCTCTTTCTTCAGTACCAAGAGAAATGCGAGACTTTTTTAATGAATTTGAAGGCTTAGATTTCACATGTTCACCCTTCTGAATTTTCTTTGGATTGACATTATCATAGCAACGCAGAAGTGAATCTGTCTGCTTAACTACAAGGTCCTCTTCAAAGTGATCACTATGGTTAGAAGCAGAATCAGATCTCATTCCTTCACCATGCTTAGAGCCCATTGTATTATAAACAGGCACTTCTTCAGTGGGATCTTCATAAAACTCCAGGGAGGAGTTCCTCCGAGGTAAATGATTGGTATAACTCTGCAATGTCCGCCCTTGCTTGTGCCGGTGGGGTTTCTTATCCAGCAAATCAGTGTCATGCAAGGAGCCAAGATCTCCTACTTCCATATGTAGATCATGGGAACTATATTTGGAGTCATACCTCTGCAAAGACAGATGGAAAAAGGGAGACATAAGATATACTATCATCAACATACATCTGTAATTTCAAAGAAAAAAGCAGCTTCTCATCTATAAGAAGTCTTCCACCGAGTCAATATTAGATAAGATAATGTTTCCCTCTATATAGAATAGCCATTCCTTTCCAACCTTGATTCGTTCTCAGGGAATGACTATTTCTTTGTTGACCACTTGTGCGGACTGAATAACCTTTTGAGGAAAACTCAGTCCACCTGAAATTAAGGGAAGCTAGGAATCCTCATGCTATTCCACTACTTCTTGGACAATATTACCGTTAAAGATTAATCAAGTATTTTAAAAAAACACATTTAATTAATTAACTATTATTTTGCATCACAAATTCATCAAGTATTATGGACTTTCAGAAATATCTTAGAAATATAATGGTTAATTTAGTTTCAAATTCAAGTATAGCATCATCATGAGGCTATGTCTTCATACCATTCTCATCTAATTCTAGCACGCCAAAAAGCATATTGCGACATGTGGTCACAGCAAATGAGGTAAGGAAATGATAGTTTCATTATAGCACATCTCCATTCCCAGCAAAACCATTCAGTGGTATAAATTTGACACAAAAAGGTGAAATGCAGACTGCAATAATTATTCCATGCAAGATATAATTATAAAATTAATATTAAGAGCAATATACTCAAACCTTCCCAAACCCTCCATCCTTAGGTCTCTTTTTTACATTAATGGCAAATTCTAGGCCCAGGAGAAGAATTTCTAGCACTATCTCAAGAGTCAACAACACCCTCTCTCCTCCCCCTTTTCTTATTCTGATCCAGCTCACGATTATGTCACCCTCTTAAATACTTCCAAGAAACTCTCTTTTCAAACAATTTCCCACCTTAACAGCTCAGTTTAACTAACTCCCATTTGTCATATAATAATTACGAAAACAACAAAATCAAAATAAAAAGGGGCTTTCAAATAGAGAGGGATGCTTGAGAAAATCTGGGGTCTGACGACACGGTAATTACAGAACAGTTGAAAGCTAGGACCCAATTATTTTCCCTAAATTCTAGAAAAGCATTAGCATGGATTTCCAAAATGAAATTTCAGCATAATTCTTACTTAATTTTACATTCTCACTGAAAGTTTACATCACCAAAATTTTACATTCTCACTATAAGTTTACATCACCAAAATACACACACGCACACATCCATTCTCAGAGTTTTAAGAGCACCTGTCATCTACAACTAACACTTGATATAACTGATTGAAAACATTCTAACCATCCATGTTTTTACTATTCTGATCAAAACAAAAGAATGCATTAGAAGATTTCACTTACAGAGTTATGTGCGGGTTGCCTTTTCACGCCAGCTATCTCTGGAGGACTGCCAAGAGAAGGATTCACAGTACGGAATGATTCTGCCAAAGCATTTGTCAAATTAAAGTAGTAAGACTTACAGTAATTAAAAAATATATATATTTGATGCAGCAAGAAGTAAGATCTAAAGAAAAGTAAATCAGCAAAAAGAAGATGGATCCTCAACCTTCAACTCAGAAGAAGCCTTCACCATTAATTAAAACATGCAAAAAGCAAAATAAATTCCATTGACCCAAACAAGCATGAGGTGATAAGTATACAAATGCCATGCGCTATCATCCCTTGAAGTATAAAAGCAGCCTCCATAATGAGGAATGAGGTTCACTAATATGAATAATAATAGCAACAAACTCTTTCAATACTCGATATAAAATAAAATGCTTATTTTGGGCATATCATAATCAAGAAAATAATAATGCATTAGCTGTAAGAAAGGTGCATTAAGTGAATATGTAGAAATTAGGGTTTCTAAAAGCATAATCTTTAGTTTCTTATTCTTAATCTCAGCCCAATCTTGCTGAATTTTCAAATTTACTCAAGCCATTTGTAGGTTAAACTTAAAAGAACATGATTCCAATACAAATCAATATTCATCTCATGTTGTGATCGTAAGTGAACATCAAGCACATTTTGTGCAAGCATGCATAACTAGCTTATCCAACAAGGTGTCACATGTGAACAATCTTCTAGAAGACTTGTTTATGAATGTAAACCATAATACACTCTGATCAGATTATTGAAATCAACCCCGTTAGAATTCACATTAGGAATGCATCTGCTTAAATAACTCAGTTGTGTGATACAAACTTGTGAATTATTAGAAAATTGCCGTTCACAAAAACAACTCACCCCCTATCATGGCTTAGGCCAGATCTATTCATAAAGCTGTCCCTTCTCATGACGGAAATATTGAAACACATAATGCTTTCACCATGTAATATATGCAACAATATTTCTTTCACCTAAATAAGCAACTGTGTTAGTTAATTTAATGATAAATGGCATTCAAGTCTTAGAAAACAGATTTCACTAGTATATATATGTGTGTATGGTACAACCTACCATCAACTGGATCTGCAATTTGACACTCTAATGCCCCCGGAGGAACTGGATCAAATTCTACACTAAGCAGTGGACCATCTTCCCGATAGTTCCTTCCTAATTGCTTCTTGACAGCAGTTATAGCAGCATTCTCTATCTCACCCTTCACTTTCAAATATCCTGACGGTTTATATCCAATGTTAATTGCAGCTTTGGGAACTAAAGGTGGCAGAGCTCTGTTAGCCGTCAGATATCTAGAAGGCTCCACATTATATGGATCCTGACCTTGAGAGAACAACTGATCTTGTAAAGATGAGCTGCTCTCAGAAGATGTGTTATCTGTTCCACCATCATCTTCATCATAGTGTCTATTACGTTCATACGTCATATCTGCAGCAGAAAAGTCATTGCCATAGAGGCCATGACTCTCAACCTCTTTCAGATCAAGATGCTTATAATCACCATGTTTAGTGCTTCCACATGAATCTTGCCCTAGCCCACTTACACGGTCCTGGATCACACCACTTGAACGATCTTGTCGTCCATTAGCACATGTTTCATCTTTCAGCAATCTTTTATCTTTTAACCGTCTGTGGCAAAACCATCCAGATACTTGCTTTTCAGTCAAGCCTAACTCCTCAGCAAGTTCTGATTTCATTTCTTCTGTGGGATATTTGTGCTCTGGAAAGAAAAATCACAAGTTATTCTAAAGAGTTAGTACTTAGGAAGAAGCTTTTACACCCATATGACGAGAATTACTCCTACCATCATAAAATTTTTCCAGGGCCATCACCTGGGCCGGCGTTTTAAGCCTCCTTTTCTTATTTTTCTCCATAGAAACTTTATTCTCTTCCGATTGCAATTCACCTGATTCTAAAATTGACCAAAAAAAAGAAAAAAAGTAAAAACGTGTCAGTGTGCATGTTACAATTACAAAGGAAGGGGTGATGGAATGGTTCCATAAGTCTATAAATGCAGTGAAATCACATGTATGTCTACGTACTCAAATCCTTAACAATGAGGAGAACATAAAAAGGGGGGCATATCAATCATACAGCATTTAATGACCTCCTATCTCAAAACTTATCACAGAGTGCAACATTAAGTTGTAAATGTACTAAAAATATGAGGTTCCTTTGTTTTAAATTTTTGACATAGTGATGGGACCCATTTAATGGTTCAATAATTTGGTCGCCAGTCAAACTAACTGACTATTCTTTAAATTGATTTAACCTATATATAGCAAACACAATATATTTAAAAACAATCACCAATAAAATAAATCTAAAACAGATGCGCACGCACATACACACTCTCAATATATTGTTAAAATAAAAGATAATTTTTCATTTTGGCCTGAGAATAGTCAGCTTACCTTTAGGCGATTACCAGTTAACCTGTTTTCCCTTGTTTGGAATCGCATTTTCTTGTGCAATTTTTCACTTACAAGAAATCACTGGAACTATCCAAACCCTCTTAGATGGAAGAAAACCAACAAAAATTCTTTTCCGCAGGTACAAACATAGAACACCATTCAATGTTATTATGACAGCTAATTTCGCAAGAATTACCGGTACTTCCCTCTTTCTTTCTTTCTCTCTCTTTCTTAGGGCAAAAGTGCATGACTCACCTGATAAAGTAGATCTAAGTGCAGGCAACAATTTATGATCATCGACAAGGAAAACAGAAATTAAACCAAATTGGCGTAAAAGAAAAGAAAAATGTAGGGCAGCAAAACGTATGAAGATATTGATAATTAAACTAAGGTGGCAAAATTCATGACTAAAATTCAGACCCCAGTATTTCTTCAGGTTAATTCACTTTCCCGAAATGAAACACCAAAATTGAAGTCCTAGGTGCTCTATACACCTTCAGAACAACTTCTATAAGAACGGAAAGCGCAAAAAATTCATATTAGCGAATCCAATCAGGCCATTCAGTGCACGACAATACAAGCAATCAGACAAAATCAACCAAGATCTAAAGGACCCAAACACCAAAAACGACCAAGGCACGGTGAGAGAATAGAATACCTTCCATGACTCTCATAAATTATGGAAAACCTCCTCTTCTCCACAAGTTATCGGGGAAAAATAGAGATTTGTTCACTTGCTTCTCAGAAAAGCGAGACCCATCACACCAAATGCAGAACAGGGTGATACGAAATGTCTATACAATTCAATTCACGTCAAATACAATCCCCAATTCATCATAGGAAGAGACGAAGAAGGAACTTCTCGTGAAAGCCGGGACACAAGGGAGGAAGAAATCGCCCCTGTTCTCATTTGCTTGTTTTGAACAACTTTTACAGTTTGTGTTTTGTTTCATTTAATTGGATGACTTATCAAGTCTGTCTCTATTTTTTTATCCTGTTTCCCAGTTTTGCACTCCATTTTTAAATCCCCAGAATGAAAGAAAAATACCCATGTTTATTAATAGATCAAGGAACGAGGCAAATAAATAAATAAAATTTAATTTTAAATTTGGACATAACCTACGAGGGTCGTGCAGCTTGTCATGTGAAAATTTTGTTTCAGACAAGAGCGTACTATGAATCCTATTGGTCGTTTGGTTTTATGTTTTCAGAAAAAAAACTATGCTTAAAAATTAAATTTATCAATCTTTTTTTTTTCGCCCGTAAAATTTATAAATCTTTTATTTTTAAGAATCCTGTATACAATTATTATGAAGGCCGCTAGTCTTTCTCTGTAAAAGCTAAAAAAGAATAAACATCAAATTGCCCTTGTGCTAAACTAACTTCGTCTCTTGTTATAAGAAACAATTATTAAAATAGTGCATTTTAACATGTTAGTTAATTTTAGTTTAAAACAATAAATATATAAGATATATACATATTTTTTAATTATAAACTTGTTTGTAAAGAAAGTATATAAGAGATAATGAGTAAAAATTTATTGTATAAAAATAATAAGTGACATGTATTAAAATAAGATAAAAGTAAAAAGTTTAGTTCAAAATCTCAGACGTAAAAGATTTATTTCTTATATTCAGATTCTAATGGCAAAAAAAGTTTTTTCAAATTGGGGTTAATATAATAAATGTTTTTTAACTATAGAATTAGGGATGTTTAAAATAGCTTTTTATAAGTAATTTTATAAAGTTCGAAGTAAACATACGAAAAGCATTTTTTTTTTACTTATATACAAATATTTTTTAAGTGTTTTTGAGTGATCCCAGACACTCACTAATTTATTTATTACTTTAATTTTTGCTACCATTATAAAAATTTAAATTTTTGATGTAGTAAGCCATGAACTCATTTTTTTGTTTACCATGAGCCATAAATAAATTCATTATATAACTTAATACAAAGGCGTTCGCATTTGATAGAAGTGACAAGTTATCAAAAAGTGACACCTCTATCTCTTTTCAAATATGATAAAAGGGTATTTAAATAATTTAACTATATTTACAAAATACATTTCAAGCTTCTAGCATCAATTTTTTTTTTGGGATTTTGAAAAGTTAAATATCTAATTTGGAATTTTCTAATTTTTAACTTCTTTATGTGTCGGTTTTTTAAAATTATTTAATAATATTTTTTTTAATTTCATTCTTATTTGATTTTTGTCGGAAAGAAAAATAAAAGAGAGAGAAAGGTGAAAATAATTTGTAAATTAAAAAACCACTTATAGATGCTTTACGTCCAATCATTCCTGATAACACTTGCATCCTCTTTCTTAACGCGGAATAACAATTCGTAGCCCTTCTACCTCCACACGGAACATTAGACTTTCGTCAAAGAGAGGAAACTTTAATAAAAATAAATCTAAAACATTTTATCAATTTAATATTCCTCTAATCTTTAATATAGAATCTAATTATTAAATTAATCTTAATCATAAATATAAGATTTATTTCTTATATTTATTAATTTTTTCTAAACAACTCTTATTGATACTCCTCAACCGTAATCAAGTAGAAAGGAAGGAAGATATTAAAAAAGATAATTATGTTGTTTTAGGAAAAACATATTATATTTTTTATAATTAATTGACTTACCTAACTTTTTTAGACTAATCAAATTAATTAGATATGTCTTACATTAAAGACTGAAAGAGTATATTTTTGAATATGTGAGAATAAGTTAAAAGTGACTTGTACTATCTAGTATCATATGAAAGAGTCTCTACCTTTCAGATTGCGCTTATGGTGTTAATATGAGTTAAATTTATAGGTTTAACCCACCAACCCTATCAAAAAATGGAGAGTTGAGTTGGCAAAATACAGGCTCGTTTTGAATTAGATTCTCTTACACGACACATGCCAACCCACAAACTATGTGACGAGCTGGCCCATCAACTAGCCAACCTTTTTTCTTATTTTATTTTGTTTTACAGTTTTTATTTTTATTTCATAAGAAAGAAATTAATCATTTTCACCCAATTTAAATATATCCTTGTATTTTGTTAGAAATTTTGATTCCAAAATTGATCTCTTAATTTTTTTTAATTGTTCTATCATTTTTATATGGTAAAATTTCAAAAAAAGAATTCTAAAATTATCATTTTCCAATTCAAGCACCTAAGAGTTGAAAATGACAGAGAAAGAAATGATGCCTAATATGATATTTGACAAATATAGTTAAATGGCTAAAATGCCTTTGTATTATATTTGAAAAAAATTTATTAAATTTATCATTGCTAGCATATTTTTTGTTATTGACTGTTTAACACTTGTTATTGTCAATTCATAACTTATTAATGAATAACTTTTTATTATTAATACATTTCTTGTCATTGCCGATCCAAAACTTGTTAATAAACTTTTTGATATCAGAATTTTTTTAGGGAAAAAGACCGAAAAATGCACCTCCAACTCCAAAAGCCCAGAAACGTCCGCCCAATTCCACAAATCCCATTTTGGTACTATGAGACCAAATTGGGATTATTATATGAAAGGAAAAGACCACATTGCCCTTTATTTTAAATATTATTTTTAAAATATCACAGCCCCTACCGGCCGGCGGGTCACCGGACCTCCGGCAGCGGCGGTCACCGGAGCTCCGGCGACCAGCCGACAATTGGTCACCGGAGCTCCGGCGGTCGGAATTTTTTTTTTTGAAAATTTTTACAACTTCAATATAATCGTTAACAACTTTTGTAATGCCATTCACAACTTCAATATAACAATTAACAACGGCTTTTCTGGGAAATTCAACAAACTCCGGCGACTGGAAACAATTATTTTGAAAATTTTTACAACTCCAATATAACCGTTAACAACTTTTGTAATGCCATTCACAACTTCAATATAGCAATTAACAACAGCTTTTCTGGGAAATTCAACAAACTCCGGCGACCGGAAACAATTTTTTTGAAAATTTTTACAACTTCAGTATAGCGGTTAACAACTTTTGTAACCCTATTAACAACTTCAGTATAGCGGTTGAAAAAAACCTGTTGTTAACCGCTATACTGAAGTTGTTAATAGGGTTACAAAAGTTGTTAACCGCTATACTGAAGTTGTAAAAATTTTCAAAAAAATTGTTTCCGGTCGCCGGAGTTTATTGAATTTCCCAGAAAAGCTGTTGTTAATTGCTATATTGAAGTTGTGAATGGCATTACAAAAGTTGTTAACGGTTATATTAGAGTTGTAAAAATTTTCAACTTCAGTATAACGTTAACAATTACGTTTTTTTGATAATTTTTACAACTCCAATATAACGGTTAACAACTTTGATATAGCAGTTAACAACAAGTTTTTAAATTCAAAAAGTGACATTTTTATAACTTCAGTAATGCCTTTAACAAACTCAAAAACCTGTTGTTAACCGCTATACTGAAGTTGTTAATAGGGTTACAAAAGTTGTTAACCGCTATACTGAAGTTGTAAAAATTTTCAAAAAAATTGTTTCCGGTCGCCGGAGTTTGTTGAATTTCCCAGAAAAGCTGTTGTTAATTGCTATATTGAAGTTGTGAATGGCATTACAAAAGTTGTTAACGGTTATATTGGAGTTGTAAAAATTTTCAACTTCAGTATAACGTTAACAATTACGTTTTTTTTGAAAATTTTTACAACTCCAATATAACGGTTAACAATTTTGATATAGCAATTAACAACAAGTTTTTCGAAAAATTCAAAAAGTGGCTTTTTTATAACTTCAGTAATGTCTTTAACAAACTCAAAAACCTATTGTTAACCACTATACTGAAGTTGTTAATAGGCTTACAAAAGTTGTTAACCGTTATATTGAAGTTGTTAATAGGGTTACAAAAGTTGTTAACTGCTATACTGAAGTTGTAAAAATTTTCAAAAAAATTATTTCTGGTCGCCGGAGTTTGTTGAATTTCCCAGAAAAACTGTTGTTAATTGCTATATTGAAGTTGTGAATGACATTACAAAAGTTGTTAACGGTTATATTGAAGTTGTAAAAATTTTCAAAATAATTGTTTCCAGTCGCCGGAGTTTGTTGAATTTTCTAGAAAAGCTGTTGTTAATTGCTATACTGAAGTTGTGAATAGCATTACAAAAGTTGTTAACCATTATATTGAAGTTGTAAAAATTTTCAAAAAAAAAATTCCGACCGCCGGAGCTCCGGTGACCAATTGTCGGCTGGTCGCCGGAGCTCCGGTGACCGCCGCTGCCGGAGGTCCGGTGACCGGCCGGCCAGTAGGGGCTATGATATTTTAAAAATAATATTTAAAATGAAGGGCAATGTGGTCTTTTCTTTTTACATAATAATCCCAATTTGGTCTCATGGTACCAAAATGGGATTTGTGGAATTGGGTAGACGTTTCTGGGCTTTTGGAGTTGGAGATGCATTTTTCTGTCTTTTTCCCATTTTTTTAGTGATTTAACTATATTTGTAAAATGATAAATCATGCTCCATTTCTTTCTCTGTTATTTTCAATTCTTAAATGCCTGACTTGAAATATTACATTTTTTTTTGTTTTTTTATTTGTCATTTTTTTCTTTTTATATTAATACAATAACTATTAAAAATAAATTATATGTTTATATTTTTTAATTTTGATGTTAATTTAATTATATAGTTGTATGAAAATATAAAAATAATTAGAATTTAGTTTATAAAAATTTGTAATTTAATTTTAAAATTTAAATATGTATTATATATAAATTAAAAACACATGGGCTTGCAGGCTAACTGGCCAACTCATGATTGACGGGCTGAGTTGGTTGAATCGTAGAAATTGAGGAGCCTTTTCAGAGGTGATTTTAAGGTGGAGTTCGAGCAGCAAAAATTATTTTTATAAAGTATTTTCACGGCGAAATCACGGGATGACTGAGAATTCGAGAATTTTATTTGTCGGGTTAACCCGGGCGATGTCATCCTTTCCCTCTGCGACATCCCTTAAATGGGTACCCCATTGCCGGCGATAAGCTGTGCAGTATCGGCGTCTCGCCATTGCGCGATTAGGAAGTCGCCGGAATGCTTGCTAATGGTTAGTGCAATTTTTGTGCTTACTTCTTGAGAGCCTTTGGCTCATCCCTGGAGGTTTTCCGTTTTCCATAGCGTTCGGCAAGTTTGCTTCCGCTTTCTTATTTTTAATATATTGCATCGTTCGCTGCGGAGAAAGTAAACTTGTATACTCTCTTCAAATGGCGAGACTTTGCATTTTTCTTCATAAATTTGTTTTCGGTATTGTTACCGCCTGCACAAAGCCTCGTCTTTATGGCCATCCCTTCATTGCGTGTCGCTTCTGCTATTTCGCCTCTGTTACGGACCCTAGCAGTAGCCCCGGGTTTCCTCGAACCCGCGAGTCATCGAGAAATTTCGACGAAGAATCAGTTTTTTCAAGTTCTCTTCCTGATGCGTTTTTGGTGGAAAAGGTTTTCTTGAGCCTGAGGCAAGGAACTCTCAATTCACTGAGCAATTACTTTTCCCGTTCTTCAGACCCATCAGTTGTGGTTGAAGTTCTTTATCGATGTCGCGACAACTTGGGTCTGGGTCAGAAGTTTGTCGATACAATTATGGTAAATTGTCCCAACTTTAAGCACTCATCCCTCTCGTTGAGTGCAATGATTCACATTTTGGTGCGTTGTAGGAAGCTGCCAGAAGCGCAGGCTTTGATTCTTAGAATGATAAGAAGGAGTGGTGCTTCACGTGTTGATATTGTTGAGTCCTTGGTTTCAACGCATGTCAACTGTGGTTCCAATTCTTTTTGTTTTGATTTGTTGATAAGGACTTTTGTCCAGGCGAGGAAATTAAGAGAAGGGGCTGAGGCATTTCGTTTGTTGAGAAGTAAGGGAATTTGCATTTCTATAAATGCTTGTAATGCTCTTCTTGGTGCTCTTGTGAACGTTGGTTGGATGGATTTGGCATGGAATATTTATGAAGATATTGTGAGAAGTGGGACACAGATGAATGTATATACTCTAAATATTATGGTTAATGCTTTGTGCAAAGATTGCAGAATGGACGAAGTTAAACTTTTCTTGACAAACATAGAGGATAAGGGGCTTTTTCCGGACACTGTAACATACAATACTCTAATCAGTGCACATTGTCGTGAGGGGCTTGTAGAAGAGGCCTTTGAATTAATGAACTCAATGAAGCTTAAGGGGTTGAAACCTGGCCTTTTTACTTATAATGCCATTATCAATGGCTTATGTAAGAATGGAAACTATGCGAGAGCAAAGGAACTTTTCTATGAGATGTTGAAGATGGGATTGACTCCTGATACTGCCACTTTTAATACATTGCTTACCGAAAGTTGTAAAAAGAATAATATTTGTGAAGCTGAAAAGATTTTTAAGGAAATGTCACATCATGGAGTTGTTCCAGATTTATTTAGCTTTAGCTCACTTATAGGATGGTCTCCAGGAATGGATACTTTGACCAGGCCTTAGTGTATTTTAAGCAAATGAAGGATGTTGGGTTGGTTCCTGACACTGTTATATATACTATTCTTATAGACGGGTATTGTAGAAATGCCAAAATGTCTGAGGCTCTGAAGATGCGAAATGAGATGGCAGAGCAGGGCTGTCTTATGGATGTGGTTACATACAATGCTATATTGAATGGATTGTGTAGGGAAAATATGCTTGTTGATGCTGATAAGCTATATAAGGAGATGGTGGAAAGGGGGATTTTTCCTGATTTTTTCACCCTCACCACTCTCATTCATGGCTATTGTAAAAATGGGAACATGTCAAGAGCGGTTAATTTGTTTGAGACTATGACCCAAAGGAACCTTAAGCCTGATGCTGTGACATATAATACACTGATGGACGGCTTCTGCAAATAGGTGAAATGGAAAAAGCAAAGGAGTTGTGGCATGACATGATATGCAGAGAAATTTTGCCTAACCACATATCTTTTAGCATTTTGATAAATGGATACAGCAGTTTAGGTCTTGTGTCTGAAGCATTTAGGCTGTGGGATGAAATGGTAGAGAAGGGTATAAAACCCACCCTGGTTAATTGCAACACCATTATAAAAGGCTATTGTCGGTCTGGTAATGTGTCAAAGGCAAGTGAATTTTTGAACAAGATGATTTTGGAAGGTGTTTTACCTGACTGTATCACATACAATACTCTAATAAATGGCTTTTTAAGGGAAGATAATTTGGACAAAGCTTTCATTTTCATTAATGGCATGGAAAAACAAGGGATACTGCCTGATGTTATCACATACAATGCAATTCTTAGTGGATATTGCAGGCAAGGCAAAATGCAAGCGGCTGAGATGCTTTTGCGTAAGATGATTGACAAAGGTATCAATCCTAACAGATCAACGTACACAGCATTGATAAATGGGCATGTCTCTCAGAACAACCTGAAAGAGGCATTCCGCTTCCATGAAGAGATGCTGCAAAGAGGATTTGTTCCGGATGACAAATTCTAAGCTCTTTGTGGTAGCAGCTATTCAGACATTTTAGCATCTTGTTTTACATCCCATATATGGAGGTTGGACATTTGTCATGTAGCATCCTAGGCCTTGATTTTGTAGGCTTGTGATGATTCAATTACTCATGTAACTTTGTAATATGTCAGGTCTAAAAATGACCAGAGAATATTACCGAGGGAAGGGAGAATTGGACTTTGCCCAATATAGAGAAAGGAGAATGAGATGCAGTGGTGGACTATGCTGTGGCATCACGAAGGAAGTAAGGCCATTTCTAACTTATTTATTGAAGGCAAAGGTTTGGCCATTCATGTCTAGTGTTTACCTTCTGGTTAGGTGTGAGGTGGACGTTGGGTAATAATTGAAGGTAACCTAGATGCCTAAATGTTACTATTAAATCTATAGAAAGATGTATTCTTTGCGCATCTAGAAATGTGTGAGGTGGGCTTTTGAAATATTTTTTCTTTTGTTTTTTGGGTTGGGCGGGGGGGAGTTTAAAAAGATGAATTCTGAGCACATTCTAGAAGCAGTCCTTTTGAATTCTGCCAGTATAAAGAATGAAGTTAGCGGATAAGTTCATTTGTAAATTAGGGGGGAAATCTGAGCAAGTAATTGAAAAATATATATGAAATCACTTGGGAAAACTGATTTGGAGAGGAAGTAGAAGTTCAGACGATTGAATGAATTGAGAGAGTAACTTGTGAATTTAAACATTAAACTTAAACATACCAGAAAACATATTAATATTTATTTATCTATTGACCTTGTTTAAATGGTTTTGTCTTTAATGTTTCTAATTTTGACTTCACATATTAAAGGATCTTGAATTTCAAGTTTGGTGAAAGGTAAAAAAAAGAAAAGAATTGAATATTTGTTAGTTGAGTGAACTTTTATGTATATGGTTTGGGTACAATGCATCTTAGATATTATTCTCATTTTTTGGTTACAATTTTGCGTGTTGATGCATGTTTCCTTGCTCATGCCTTGCGCCACTTGTACTCTTTTAACAACTATGATTTGCGCACTAAGATCATTTTAATGCATCTTTCTTTCTGTTGAGTGGATCAGAAATATTCTGTGATTTCTGCAGTCATCTTCTATTTCCTTGGGATTTACTTCTGTATCAATTGTGATGTGGTAGGCTCTGGCAGTTCTCTTTGCAACTTTTTCCTTTTTTTCTTTCAATGTACGCCAGCCACTAAATCACCGATATGCACCACTTCATCCAATTTCATTGCAGCAAGGAATGGGGTTGGTTTCTTTCCTCTTCTTCTCTAGGAATGGAATTGAACCCAGAAAAAATTACTTTGGTGTAATAAGCTTGAACACAAAAGAGATCAGTAGCCCATATAACTGTATAAAATATTGCAGCTGATGACAGAAAAACTTATTTTCCTCCCTTTTATATTGCTTACCAAGCACGATCCTTCTTTGACAGGGCTTTGGGGTGGTGGGTTTGAAGATCGAAGCCCTCAAGAAGTTTGAGTGCTTTTTGGGCTCTCAATCATAGCCTGCTCACTAATCGTGAGTGAAGGTGGGGTGCTACAAATAGCTGCGCTAGGTGTGTGTGAAAAATGACAATACCCTTTTGGTCAGCGATGCTTTGAATCATTGAGAGATAAAGAAAGGAGAGAGGCGCCGGAGGGAGAGAAGATTGATGAGTGGGTAAAAAAAATTGCCACGTGGATTTTGGTGCCACAAAGGCGTTGAATGGAGTGGAGCTAACATATCGGACTGAAGGACAACTCGACAATGTGAAGAAAGTTAATTATGGCAATTTTCTTAATAAATGTTATAGGACCATGTTGAAATTATGAATGTTTTAGGGATAAAATTGGTAAGTTAGCTTCTGGATCATGTCATATATGGGTTTTTTTATATCAAAATCTCCTACATCAATGGATAAGGTCTGGTCATTTGTTTGATAAGGAGTAGTCTATTTCCATCTCCATAAAAAAGACCCTAGTTTACTCTTTACATAACCCAACCCTTTTTTCTCTTCCTCTGTTCTTGTTCTGCATCGTTGTATTTGAAACGGTTGTAGCGCAAGGCCCTGTGTTGAAAGAGTGGAAACAAGTATATAGAAACGCAACTAACTGAATTATAATAATGGGAAAATATTTTAATTTATGTCTTGAAATTATTTTCGGTTCTCACTTCTCAATTATTATTTTTCAGATGAAATAAAATAAGGAAAAGAGGGAATACATGAGACGATGAAGTGGTGTCATCCTGAAGATAAAGTGGGGGATGAAATGTTAGAAAAAGGGATATCAGATATGACATCTAAGGCTATGAGGCTGGTTTTAGCAGGATGTTCATTCATCAAATGAGGAGCAGAGTATACCACTTCCCTTACACCACTTCCCTCGGTTTGTCTCAGTGGACGTGTTGAGGTACTTGCAATCTTTAAAATTCCATGTTTGATTTCACTGTTCACAGTTTTTTTTGTTTTTGTTTTAAAGGACAAGAAAAAATTGAAACACTTTTCAGGTGTTGAAGAAATTGATGTTGCCAGGAGCTAATGTTGTGTTCTACTCCTTGATCCTAAATGTGAGATTTATTTTGCGACAGCCATAATGAATAATCAAATTAGCAATACTAATGCTCAGTCATGAGCGAGACTCCAGTGGATGAAGCAGTCAAGAGGAGAAAGCTGCAAGTGATGGATGCTATTAACGAAGCGGCAACACAAGTTATACTCACTGGAACCGGGGTTTTTGCATAAGAAACTTGTTATAATTAGCTTGTTTCTGGAAACTTAGTTGTTTTTCGACAATATTTAATTGATCATGTTTATGATGTGTGCCTTGATTTTTACACCTCTTCGTGATGATGATCTTATTCTTGCATCAGGGCTTCTAAGTTCTAAATCTAAGAATGAATTCTGTTTTTTTAAAAATTATGAAATTGAAGGACTTGCCATATTATTTCACAAATGTTGTTCTTTTTTATTTTTTAAGCGTAAGTATTTTCTTGTTGGAGAGAATCATATTTGAGATATTATTGACACTAAATGTGGGTATCTCTTTTAGTGAAGATTCGAACTTTAGTTTGGTAAATTGTGAAGAACTAGCTTGTTTTATTAGACCTAATTCCTATTGATTTATTTCACAAATGTTTTAAACCAAAGCAGTGCAACATTTTTGGGTTTACTTCCTCCAATTTCTATTATAAGGCAACAACTTTACTGAAATTAAAAATAAAAAAAAGATAGTTGAATTGTCAACCTTTTTTTCCCCTCAAAATAGAAGAATTTTTTAAATTTCACTTTTTTTTATTACATTGTCTTTTATACTTAATGATTTTAAATATGATTGACATTGAAAAAACTTAACTAACATTTCATCAAGTGATTCATAGTAAGAATCATTAAATCTTTGAGAGGATGTTTTGGAAAAAAGAATTAGGTTACACCCAAATAGCCTCCACATATGGAGCAATAGTTACTTGCAAGTTGCAGCCGTGAATCGGGGTTTATTTGAAGTAGTGCTAGTCCTGCAAAACAAAACATTAAAAGCATTTTAGTTGTGTTTGAATTACAAACTCCGGTTTAAATATAAGAACTAAATAAGATATTTACTTTAATTTAAATAGAAAACCTCAATTTATTTTATTTCTCAAATTATAATATTTTATCCAAAATATTTTTATTTATAGCATATACAAAGGGGCTCTAATTAAAGAGTGATTTCAATACATATAATTAAATATCAAAATATATTATTATAGATAACTAATTTAACTAATTTATTTACTATATGTAGATTATATAAGATTTTGAATTAATTCACAATTCAAACACAAGAATGATGAGTGTTGCCGACTTGGGCATGTAAACTGTTAGAAGACCCAGTAAGGGAAGGAGAAAAATAAAAAGGAAGAAGAAAACTTACAAATTGCGTTTGACCCAAAAAGACTGCAAATGGGCACGTGAAACATAAAAGAGAGCCAACCAAGAGAACACCAAATTGGCCTTTTAGTTAGTCATCAAACTGAGATGCTTGACGCAGCCCCTTTGTACTGGCTGGCGTATGCCAATTTTATAAATATATATAAACACACACATA